CTGGGATTAAAGGCGTGTGCCACTACCGCCCGGCTCTCTCTCATGTCCATTTCTAATTACCATCTCTCACTTATCTGTCTGTCATCTATCAACTTCTGCTGACCTGCCGTCTCTGTATCTATCATCTATCTATTCCTCTGCCCCTCTATGTCTTTAGCTAACATCTGCCTACCTGCCTTCTCTTTGTGAGACTCTCTCACCCCCACTCCCCACCCCCGACTTTTTATGTCTCTCTGTTTTTCCTTTCTCCTGCGGCTTCGTCATCTCTCCTTGCCATTCGGGACTCTCCCTGAACAGAGCCAGGTTCTCACATCCAGGGTGTGAGAACCTCGCTAGACACGGTGTAGGGGCCGTGCCAGGTTGAATCTTTGTTTGAGTCTGGCCACTGAGGAGAAGGTCCCAGTGGTGGGAACCTGGGCACCACCCACCCATCAGGGCAGGGAAAGCTGTGTCTGACGCTATTGCCGGGAGCCTCTGATGCTTAGTGTCTGGCTGTGTCAGGATGATGGATCCACTGATGGAGTCAAGCCCAGAGCAGGGGATATGAGGAGTTCCTGTGGCTAGAAAGGGATAACCCAAGCTCCACCCAAGGAGCTGGGCATTTGACTAGCCTGAACACCGCCCTGACTGGGTGGAGCAGCTGTATAAAACCAGATGTTTCTAAAACCAGAGTGTGCATGAGAGGAAGACCAGGATTTCAAACCCTGGGAGTTTTCTCTGCCAGGACACTAGAGACCTGGCCACAGCCCAGACTCCTCCTTTAGACCCAGGTGTCCAGGCCTCAGTCTTCTGTTAGATCCAGGGGTACGGACCCTAGTTCCCCTTCCAAGGACCTCAGCCCCCAAACCCCAGCCTTCCTCCCTTAGACCCAGGTGTCCAAGCCAAAGCACTTCCCCCTCAGACCCAGAAGTCCAGTGTACTCCTCCTTTAGACTCAGGAGTTTGGGAATCAGCCTTCCTCTCTCAGAAAAGGAGTACAGGCCTAACCCTCATCCCTCAGACACAGAGGTCTAGTTTCCCAAAATTCAGTGCAAGCACAGATGATCAGGACTGAATGTATCAAAGACAAGATGACAAAGACAGATGAAGCTGAGCGCTCTTTCCCAGTTCCCTCCCCTCTAATGGTAGCTTATAACTGGTTCCTGCCTAGTCCACGGTGTCCTTTCTTCTCCTGATAGGGGCTGACATTTAACTTCAAGATGAGAAGACGGGGAAAGGTAAGGGTGGTAGCCACAAATGTAGAAGAAACAGAGGAAAAACATATATTCATTACAGGGACACCTCTTGAGCTGCTGATGGGTGGGGCCCTAGACTAAGTGATGGCTGGCACACACAAATGACTCAGCAGGGGGCCCTGTCTCTGAGGAGACAGCTGTGTAAATAGAGGACTGGGCACTGATGGAGTAATCATTCCACCCAACTGAAAGGCAGGAAGGGCTTCCTGGAGGAGGTGGTCCTAACTGATGAAGACATAGTGGAGCGGAAAGTGAAGGAGAGAAAAGGTACTCAAGGAAAGACATGGTGTGGTCAGTTTACAAAGCACACGCTGACTGAGTGGTGCTGTGGAAGCACGAAGTAGTTGAGAAGTAATGAGGTACATGAAGGTAAGATTGCTTTAAAAATAGTTTTGGGGGATGGACAGATGGCTCAGCAGTTAAGAGTGCTTGATGCCCTTGCAGAGGACCTAGGTTGGGGCCCCAGGGCTCAGGTCTGGTGGCTTACAACCACCTCTAACTCCAGCTCTAGCGTATCTGGTGGCTTCTTCTGGCCTCTGTGGACACCTGTACACATGCAACATACACAAAAAAAATAAAATAAATCTTTTATAAAGTCGCGGTATGGATGGCTGTAGAGATGACTCAGTGGTAAGAGTACTTGATACTCTTGCAAAGGACCTGGGTTCGGTTTCCAGCACTCCCATGGTGCAGTGGATTTACGCCGTCTTCTGAATTTCTGTGGGCATTGTATATACGTGATGCACAGCCATATATGCAAGCCAAGTACTTTACACATAATAAATCTTTCAAAATGACTTTCAGATTGAAATGCAAAATTATATATTCAGGATGAGGATGTAGCTCAGCTGTAGATTGATTGCATATAGACTGTGTATTTGACAGACAACACACCCTGGGCATGGTGTTGCATGTTTGCAGTGTCAGCACTTGGGAAGTAGAGGCAGGAAGCTCAGAGTTCATGGCCATCTTAGACTACAAAGGAAATTTGAGGCCGTCGTGGGCTATATCAGAGCTTGTCTCAAAATAAACAAGTAGGGACAGATGGGATAATTCAGTGCATAAAGACATTTGCTACTATGTCTGAAAATTTGAGTTCATTCTCCAGAACCCACATGGTAGGAGGAGAGAACAGACTTCTGCAACTTGTCCTCTGACCTCCATGTGCAAACCATGGCATGCAACCCCTAAAATAAATGTAATAAAATTTTGAAAAAGGTTTAAGTTGTATATTAGTATAGTCAAGGATACGACATCATTTCTTTATGACAAAATCAAGCTATTACAGCATGTGCAATATACAGAGTTTTGACTGCCAGACTCAAGGGCTGGACTCTTGTCTTGGAGGTACTAACTAGAGAACTACAGGAGAACTGGGAGCTGTGGAGATAAAGGATCAGTCCTGGGTCTATGTGAATTACTAAGTAGGTAGAGAGACAAGGGATTCTTGGTCAGGTAACTCAGTGGGTGGCTATGTCAGAGATTCCAGAATTTCCTTCAGGCTAGGGGTTGTTGGCTGAATGTGAGCTTTGAAAGAGTTGAAGGTTTGGAGCTGGTGGGACGCCAAGGAAGTGTGAGTGAGGATGGCAGAGCTGCTGGATCTAATCCTTTGAGGAGTGGGGACTGAGAGGTGGCTCAGAAGCAGGCCCAAATGAATGGAACCCTTCATCAAAGCTCATCCATGCTACTCTGGCTGCCCAACTCCCAGTCTCATTTTGTCAAACACTGTTCTCAAATATCATAGGGCCCCCCTTATTTGGTTTCTCTTTATGAGGTTGCAGTTAGCTTCATCAATCAAAATCCAAAAATACCAAATGGAAAAATCCTGGGAATAAACAATTTGTAATTTTAAAAACCTATTTTTGTTTTATTATTTTGTATGCATAGGTAACTTGACTGTGTGCATGTCTAGGAATCAAATCCAGGTCCTCTATGAGAGCACCCAGTGTTCTTTTTTTTTTTTTTTTTTTTTTTTTTGGTTTTTTGAGACAGGGTTTCTCTGTGTAGCTTTGCACCTTTCCTGGAACTCGCTTTGTAGCCCAGGCTGGCCTTGAACTCACAGAGATCCACCTGCTTCTGCCTCCCAGAGTGCTGGGATTAAAAGCTTGCGCCACTACTGCCTGGCACACCCAGTGTTCTTAACCACTGAGCCATCTCTCCAGGCCAACAAGACACACAAAAAAATAATAATTTTTTTAAATTATAAAAAAAAAGCATCATTCTGGCCTCCTTCTCCTCCCTCTAAGGTTGCCATAGTCCACCTCAAATTCATGACCTCTTTTTCTTTAATTACCATTGTTAAATATGTGTGTATAACAAATTTATGTTTATAATATATTATAAATATATTTTAATAAATATAATGAGCATTATATATCATATAACTATATAATGAGCATAATATCTTATTATATATATATATACATATACATATATATATATATATATATATATATATATATATATATATATATATCTATATATCTCCTGCTGGGTTCAATTGTGTGTTATTCCTAAGCAGCACAATGAAATCTAATGCTCTCC